CCCCCTTTTTTCCCCCTTCTCCCGTTTGGGCAACTTGTTCCTAAAAGAGGAGCGAATGTGCAGGTGGACGAGGAAGGAGCCAAGTGTAGCTCTTCAGTGGTCCAAAGAAAGACAGTGGCACCTATTAAAATTAGGGCTATCGCGTTTTGGCTGTGCTTTGGAAAGGTTTTGTTTAAGTGATATCTGTAAGTCACATGACCAGAGTCTGTAGGAAAACGAACTTTAATGGGAGCCTAAATTGAACAAATGTATCTTAAAGCATTGGTAAAGAGAGCTGTAAGCAATAGGAACTACCAAAAATCTCTACTATTAAAAAAAAAAGCAACAGCATGAATTGATTTGGATCTGCCAATGCAATCCCTGATATTGCAGATAGATAACTCTTCATGTTACACCTTTCTGTCCAGGCATAAGATTAAAGCTGTTCATTTATCCTGCTGCATGTAAGGAGATCTAAAGGGCTGTAAAGACTTTGCTTCTATCATGATTAGAATTAAATTAGCTGCTTCTTAGCCTCTTCATTTTTGTACGTATTTTTGAATGTTCTGACATTATTTAGTTTAATAACACCCTGCTTGGATGTTGTAGGTCGGATGTATTTTTAGGTCACAGCCCTGCTCTTTATGGGCTCTTCTTTTGAGTTTCATTACTTCCTAAAAGGGGGAGAACCCAAGCAATTTAATACTCCTCAGCTCAATTTCAGCTCTACTGCTCCTCTGTAAAGGGGTTTTTCTTTTTGGGAAAAAAAAAAAACAAATATCACGATTGAATTGAATTGCATTATTGAATTGTAGGTACTTAGAATGTGATGATTTGGTGGGGCAAAAAAGTCACCCTAGTTTTGCAGTCCTATATTTGATTTCATATTTGATTGGTTAAATGGCGTAAGTAGGTGAGAAGAGCAATTTTTGCTAGATCTTGACTTTGATAAAGCTTCTGAGTTCACCTTTCCCACAAGAACTGTACATTGGAGAAACTATGATAAAGATGTACTCATTATCCTTTGTGTTCTCCAAAGGCTAAAATAATGCTATTAGATGTATAAATTAATCATCTTCCAAACTGAGAAGGCATCTGAAGTGGTGTGGAGGAATCTGTCTTGGGCCCAGTTCACTTGGATATTATAACTGGCCAGTTGGCTGATGGCATAAAACTTATGTGTGATCCTACAAGCAGCCTGGGAGATATGATCAGAAGAATTCTGACAAAATATCTGAAATTAAGATGAAATACAATAAAGACATCTAAAGAGCTAAATTTAGGAAGAAGGGAAAATATATGAGTGAATAGGGCATAACTGCAGGTATCCGGAATGCAGGAAAGTGGCTTGCAGTATTGTGAATAAATAGAAATGTAATTTTAAGATACAGAAACTGATGTCAAAAGTAAAATAGAACATGGAGCTCCAGTCTTCCAGCCTACTTAATAGTTGCCACCTGGAGTTATTTCCAGCTTTGTGGCACCATTGCGAAGGTGATGGCAAATCCTGGGAAGTCTAGAGGAAAGCGACATAAAAGGTGTGGAATGTGTTCCACCAGTAAGGGAATGCTCAAAATACCTGCTTTATTACCAGGTGTTTGAGGAGTTCATATGAGAGTACAACTCTTCAGATATGGAGGGTGGTGATATTTTTTTTTCATACCTTGTGTAAGACGCACCAAAATAAGTCAGTGTTAGTTCAGATGTTAGGAAAAATATATCTAGGACAATCAACTTTCCAGTCCTGAGTAGGTCTATGATTATCCTTTTGCACACACATGCGCAAATACATATTAAAATATTTTTTCCTTTTTAGTATAAATTAGCTTTTTTTTTTCTATGTTCATTTGAGTTTGATGCTGCTAGAATATTTAGATGTAGAAGGGAATTTCTTAGTTGATCTGTAAAACCTCAAGCTGACAACAGTTTTCAGCGTAAGATGTGTAAATCAAAGTTTTCAATCATGCTTTCTCAGAAGATGAAAGTGTCTTTTTACACCTACCACCAGCACTGTCAGGGCTAGGAATTAAATCTGCCAGAAACCTTGATTAATGGGTCATGTTTTCTTTAACACTGTGAACTTTGCACATAGGGTATCTCTGCATGGCACAGCAATAGGCACGTAGGAGAGTGATGTAAGCTGGCATGGAGTATCTTGACAACTTGAGTGCTACAGTGTGCATAGTTCTAAAGCATAAAGATGATTACGTAGCTATTGGGAGGAACTCTATTTTTACAGATGTATCTGTAAAACTTGCTGTAGTGTTGGAGGGCTGTGCTGTCTCTGTGATACAATAATTTGCAAATCTTTGTGTCTCTCTCTCTCTTTTTACAAGTATAAATTGTGACTCCCAAGTCATTGAGGAAACACGTTTAAGGTTTAAAATTGCAAACCAATGGTAGTTTTTAAAATGTGCTAGTGTCCACTGTCTGCTGAGCTTGCATTTTCCAACACTTGGATTTGTGGTTCTGTGTTTTCCCTGTTCTATCCAAGCTATTTAAGCTGCAAAAGGAACACACAAATGCAGTTTAAGTTCCGTTGGAACATGTGATAAGGGAAAAATTTAATCCGTAGGGTCTGAAGTGGCGTTTTAGCAGATAGAAAATATATTCTGTCTCTTGGTTGTTAATTTTTATTTCATTTCACGCGTAAATATGCTTTGATATATATAGTGTCATAAGTTTCAGATTTCCAGCATCTTGCAA